TGTTTGCGTCTTCTCAGTAATCCTGTAACGTGAAGAAAATCACATTTCTTTCTCTACGTCTCCAGACAGCAGTAACATCACCAAAACTAGTTGATGACAGAATAATTACAACTTTCCTGATAGAAGCAACACGTTCRTGATAACTTCTCTGTTATCCTGAGATGTGTGGACCCTGAGAGTTTAGTGARGGTTACTTCRTGTTTACTACAAACATGCGTATGATGTCARTGATTCACTTCAAGCCAGTTGATGGAAACTCCGTCTGATTCGCATTTCTTAACATTTCCTTTTTGCGAAATTATTAATATTAGCTCAAAATTCAAATTAAAATTGTATGTAAACACAGTTTGTGCTGCAGGGTTCACCTGACATGACTGCTCCTGCCTCACAGCTGGATCTGTGCTGACTCACCTGTCAGTCTCCTCCTCTTCCTCTCTTTTCACTATTTTTACCAGTTTTTGGTGTAACCTTAAAAAGACTTGTATCCTTCCAAAAACCCAACAAACAGGTGATTTTCCAGCTGCTCTCAGACATCTTGTCACCTCAGAGCGTGCTAACGATAAACAGAGGGCACTTTGTGGAGAGAGCGGCTCAGAAGCCAGTTATTAAATGCTGCTGCACATTGAGTGTGCTCGTAGCTCAAAGGGAAAGTGGCCAAAAGTGCTGGGTTATTTCTTTTTAAATTTCCTCACCCAAGGATCCGCTGACAGCTTTTATTGAGCTCCAATTCCCCGACCGGCCGTACTTGTTAATGTATCCTTGAACAAGAAATATAAAGCTCACAGTCCCCTGGTCTGCAGGCTTCCTGTCACTGAACAGGCTGCTTTGTTTTAGTGTCAGTGATGGAGACAGAGCCACGTTTCACCGACAGGAGCACAGATCAGATGCAGTTTGTTCTGGTTAACAGTGCTGGATCTACCCATTTTGGTGCCTTAGGCCAYAGGTTCTCAAACTGGAGACCCAGGACCCCCAGGGGACTGTGAGTCATTTCTTGGGGGTCCTCAAAAATTTTCAAGAAATTGTTAATTTGTTTTTTTATTTGAAATAAAAATGCATATGGGGAATATTGCACTAGTAAAACAAACATACTAAACCAAACAAAAATATGATTACCATGGCATTTAGAGGTTAAAATAACAGTAAATTATTTTTGCATCAACAGCAGGAGGTTTATTAAAGGGATCCTGATTAGTTGTAACATTAGATTTTATTTNTGCAGTAGTTTTTCTTTTAGTCAGCAGAAAATGTGGTTAACAAACACAGATAAGCATAAAAAGAAAAATACCGTAAAATACCGTGATAATTGTTAAAAATACCGTGATATAAAATTTTGGTCATATCGCCCAGCCCTACCATATATTATCATATTGATGACATTTTATTACTCTTTTCTCTTCTTCCTGTTTTCTTTGACATGTAAAAATACACACATAAATATTTAGTCAGAACAGTGTAGAGGTTGTATTTTCAAAGGAAACCACTTTGAAAATATCCAAAATGTGTTTTCAAATACCATTTCAGTAATTAATCAATCATCCAAAATAATGTGTTGTATTGTGGCAAGAATACTGTTGATTGGAGCACCTTATATACCTGCAGTATCAAGTTTGATACAAACTTTTAACACGTTTAACTGTATTATTAAAAAATATTTTTTAATTATGCATTGTTTCAACACAAAGTATTTATAAAAATATTACGAACAATATTGATGTTATTCTTACCATAACTTCTCCAAAATTAGCAAAAGTTTCCTGAAAAATAATGTGTTGATGACGTCATGTCAGCAGACATTTTGAAAAGGCAAAAAAACAGAAGTTCCACTTCCTGTATTCTGCCCTCTGGTGGATTAACAATGTACTGCAGGAAGTGGAACTTCCTGCAGTACATTGATAATCCACCAGAGGGCAGAATACAGGTCTCACATCATATACAACAGGTTTTTGAGGAAAATAGATAAAGGTCACAGAATCCTGTGTAGCAGATATGATACAAATTGTGATATATTATGATTGTCAGTTTTACAGATAATGAGATTAAATTTGGTGAAGCTGAGGATCATTCACAACAAATACTTCAAGTGCCGCTCATTGCTACATGTTTACTTTAAACTTTTTATTTTATTTATCCAACACAAAACAACATGAGCACTTTTTGTGAAAGTTTTGGTAAATTGTTTGGTCTTATTCAGATACAATCAAAGGAAACAATCTTAGAAAACGACGTCAGTTCTGTTTGTCAAAAAGCTTTTTATTAATATTTGACTTTTTTTCCTCTCCGGTACATTCAGTACTCAAAGGCCTCACATTTSACCAGTTAATGCATAAATCCAAACATTAAAAAAAACGTACAAAGCTTGGAAAAAAAGTAAAAATAAAAACCATTATTTGAGCACGACTTTAGCACTTTGGCTGATGTAACATGTTCGCTGCTGCAGGTTTACAACAAATAAACACTTTTAATCTAACCCAGAATAAAAACTAATTATTTTCACTCTGTAGAGTCTTCCTGAGTTTTAAATTCATCGATTTTATAAATCTTTGTTCTTCTGTTTGCTTTAGCTCCGCTCCCTTTCAACCAAAGTAAATAAAGTTTTATTCACCTCTTAAATAA